CAGTTATTTTGGAGCTTAATTCATACAAGGTGGTGCTTTTATATTAGCTACTTTCTAGTTCTTTTTTTATTTAAGAACAAGTTTTTCTTTCTTCTGCCCAGTTTACCTGAATGCTTCTAAAATCTAAACACATTAGTAAATAAGAGCTTGATTTTTAGCAGGTTTCTCCCTTTCTTTATGAATGATAGAAGTTTAACAATGTGTATCTCATTTTCCTATAATTTTAAAATGGCAAATTTCACTGAGGCCATGAAAGAATTTTTGGATTTATCCAGACTATGTAGAAACCACCATCACAGCTGGCTGAAAAGTAAAAGCTTGGTTATATTGACTTGGCCTGATTCCCAGGGTTCCCAGGCATTAAGCAATATCTGAAAGTTAAGTCTGTCACCTTCAGAAGCTGCAATAACTCTATAGTCCCATTTAGCACATTGCTCTGTAAAAATGTATATGCGAATGACAGGAAAAAGCTGATTCTCCTTTAAAGGCACCACAATCAATAACTTAGGATATAACTCTGAGTTACTCTTAGTTACTCTTAGGGTGTAACTCTGTGCTGTCAATTTTAAAGTCTCTCCTTCTAACATGGATAGTTGCATGACCATTGGGTACATGCTCTCTCTTTTAAAAATTCCTTCAGGTGTCATTACTGTTTTGTACAGATGTGGTCAATTCTTTTTGGATATCTTAGCACTGAGGAATTGCATGACATGTTTTTTAAGGGGAACATTTTCTCTGAAAGTGAGCAGAGCACATTTCATAAGGACCACTACTTAGACTACCTCAGCCGTAGCGATTCTATACTCCACAGGAATGCTACTTGTGAATGGCCACCATGTATATAAAAGTTTTATCAGCATGCAGGGGACAATGTAGAGGCTAAATGATTATTACAAGTCCCCACTTGTAATCACAGCACTTTATAATTTAGGATCATAGAATTCTACAAAAGACAACCTCTTATGATAGAAGGTATCTAACAATCTCATTTTATCCAAACCTATCAACACCTAATTTTATAGATGGGAAAAGGAGATGAGAGCTTACAGATTTTACTAAAGTCATATTGTTTTAGGTGATTGTAAATTCCAGACTTTTCTGGATCCTGGTCCTGTGTTCTCATGGCACCTCATGATTTATGTATAGAACCTGTGGAGAATGACACTACCTAAAACTGCCCTCTGGACACATTCTCTGATAAATGGTTTCTGTTACTATTTGCCTAAATTGTATCCTACACCTAAACTGCTTTTTAAAAAATCCATGAAAAATCAGACCATTAGTAGTTTGTTAATGTTATAATACAGCAGCTTTCGTAGTTTTCTTCTAACTAACAAAAGTCCCAATTGGTAGTTGCTAAGTTGCTCCACCTAGAGATTAAAATAATTATTTTGCTAATATTCAAGTAGATGAAAATACTTGGAATATTTTAACTTTGTACTAAAAATAAATGCTTAAAACCTGATATATTTTAGGTTGTTAAGGATGATTCTTTGAATACTTACCGAGTATTGTCTTATTCTTTTAAAACAAGACTGTTGTAACTCTCAACTCTCACAACAGTTGGGTTCTATTCGGTGTCAAAATACAAATTTTTTTTTTTTTCCTTTTTGACTTTTTTTGTGACCGGCAACAGATCGCAACCCTCAGTGTCGTGCCCGTACCAGACCGGGACCGGCAACGGGATCACAACCCTCGGTGTTGCTCCCACACCACGCTCAGCCAGTGAGCGGGAACCGGTCTGTATGTGGGATCTGAACCCTCGGCGGGAGCACCACCGCGCTCCCAAGCGGTGCACTGTAGCAGTGTGCCACCGGGCCGGCCCGAAAATACAAATTTTAATAACTGTTTCTAACACTATAGTAACTTTGGAGTGATGTATCACCTTTTTTAAACTATAAGAAAGTGTAGGTTTTGGTGCCAAATTATAGAAAGGTGCTGTTTTAAGAACAGACTAGAAATTGAATACACCAAGGTAGCTGCTTGGGAAAATGAACAGTATATAATCTAATATCTTTAATTTTATATACATGAATATAATGTATGTCAACTTTGTACATGAGATACATACAGTACTTAAACATTTTACTCAACAAATAAGAATTTACAATAGCAATATAACTGACTAGAGGGCTGTCCACTTGATAATACTTAGATTAGATCTGTACTTTAACAAGAAAAAAACTTAATAGTTTACAATCAAAGAAACACTGACATTTAAAACAAGACTTTATAAAATAATTTATATATATCCTAGCTTCTAAGAGAGGGATGGTTTGCATTTGTGAATGTGTGCAATGAATGGCATATTTAAAATTTTTAGGTAATAAAATAATTTAGAAGCAGTTCATGCAGTGGTCAAAGCAAGGGATGGCAGTTCCTTCAATACTTCCTCCATCTTTGACAGCAACCGGCATCAGATGCACACCAGGTAAATGGGGGCACCCTAGAACAAGTCTCCTGTGACAGTCACATATATAAACATCAATATATACTTGCTGATATCCCTCCTTCCACAGTACAAGTACAGGTCACAACTTCTCTCAGCTGTGGGAGTAGTCAGTTTACACGTAAAGTGACTCAATGTCCCGTCTGCAGTTCTAGGTAATACATCTCTCTACAAGGTAACTAACAGAACTTCCTGGTTTTCACAACCTTACTCTGATACTTCACAGAGTGTCCCCCATGTCCTATGACATAAACATCCAGCAGGTAAGATTTGCCAGGCTGAAGACCTTTAATTGTTTCTGTGGTCACTGCTTTCTGCAAGTTTTGACTGTGGAAATATTTACAGAGGACCTTTTCTGATTTCTTCCTTGTATCTGGCCCTAGGCATTGGTTTTGCTCTCTTTTCTTCAGGTCTTCATTGTAGTTATCATCCACTTCTTTTTTGTAGATGCAAAACTTGTTTCTTTCCTGAGTGCCGAGCCAAGCCACGGTGGCTGAAGAACAGGTTCGGAGCTTGTCAAAGACTTTGATTCTTGTGTCTTCAGGAAGAGAAGGAAAGGACTGCTTACTGGGCCTTGTGGTGGCCAGTATTTTTAACATAGATGCTCCTTTCTTGTTTCCTTTCAGTCGAATGAGATATTTTGCTTTAGGTTTTCCTCTAACCTGAAACTGCCGAATGCCTTCCACATTCTGAGACAGAAGAAGTTTCCCATCTCTTCTCACTTGGATTTGGACAGCATCCAAACAAGAGTGAATAAAGAAGGTGACTTTTTGGTGAGAAGAGACTGGAGCAAACCGTAGAAACTTTGCTCCCTTCCTTTTAACAAATACATCTGTCACTTTCCCGTCTTTTAGCTCAACTGTCTTCTGTTTAGCTTCTTCCTTGGTCCTGGCGAAAGTCCCTACATAAGCAGTGCTCATGTTGCTGTTGCTGTTGACCACAAAGACGTCAAAGTAGTACTGCGTGTCGGGTTTCAGATCAGAGACCGTGAAGATGTTCTTGTTTCCTATGCAGATCTTCTGAATGTCAACTCTGGGCCTTGAGTAGACGTGACGCCCCAGTTTGGGAGAAGGCTTTGCTAGGAAGCCGCGTTCTTTACCTGAATTATCTGAAGGAAATCCAAAGTGGGCAAAGTCAAAGGGGCTAAAGTCCAGACCAGGCTTTGGTGCCATCATAAAAGCATCATCCGCACCCAGTTTTGCTTCCACTGCACAGAGACTTTTGAAATTGTGCTCTTTGTTGATGACCACGCAGTACTGGATGGGTTGTTTCAGCAAAGAGGCGGTGGGGCTCGGCTTCCAGGCCAAGGTGACCGTGGTGCGTCCCAGGGAGGTGACATCTACTCTTGGGTCATAGGGTAATTCAGGGTATGGCTGATCAGACTCTGGAGTTGTGGTGGCATAGACTTTGAAATGTGTGTCTTTCTCTGTTGAAACAAGTTCCAACTGATATAAACCAGATGGAGAACTGGAAGATATAAAATACTCAACATCATTGCCTTTGTAGGAGAATAACTCTGTGCCTTCCTCATTAATGATCTGCTGCTTCTGCTGCTCAAGGGGCTCAGGCTCACCTAGAAGATACAAGAGAAGCACAGGCTACAGGTGAGAGCACATAGAGTGGCTTGCCAGCCCGAAATAACTTTATCTTATTTTTCCTCTATTATAAAAATAATATATGTTCATAGCAGAAAAATAGGAAATAGAGAAAAATAAATTTAAAATCATCTGTTAATTATCCACAGATGGTCCTTTATTAATACATGGGTTTATTTTCATCTAGTCTTTTCCTTTACACATTTTTGTGCAATTGATATTATTCTCTCTCATTTTTTTCTGCAACTTAATGTTTATTCTCATGCATATATGTACCTAGACAAACCTCCATTTTATGAATCCTGTTTTTCTCATTTAAAATTATATCATAAAAATAATACTGGTGGTCAATTTTTGACCATTACAAATAATGCTCTTATATATGTGTAAGGTTTTTCTGAATTTATATTATTTCTTCAGGATAGAATACAATTAATGAAATTTTTAGGTCTAAGACTGTGAACTTTTTAGAAATTGCTAATCCTGACTGTCAATCTGCTTACCAAAACAATTCTATCAGTTTACGTTTTGATGGCCAGTGATTTCACTAACTTCACTGTTGTTAATAGGACTGGATAATCTGATTAAAATTCAGAATATAAAGCACCAGTAAAAGTACCTAATGTTCAATGGGTAGAATACATATGTTCTCAGAAATAATACACAGAAAGTACTGAAACTAAACTAATTTTTTCCATCTTTTGCTACTATCAATATCAGGTATCATACAGATGTCAGTGTGTGGATGAGTGTCCAGGACCTAGTGAAGGACTAGGTGGCCAAAGTGGGAAGGAACATTTTCCAGCTCATCACTGCAGGTTGAAAGTGAGGCATGTAGAATTTCATATTCCCAAACCATGGGAAGAATACAATTAATGTCAGAATTCACTTTCTATATCTCTGTCTCATCACTCCCTATATGCACTTCCCATATTTTCCTAATTATGATGTTCGTTCGTCATTGTAAGTATTATAGCATGCTAGCATCCTTCACATGTCATGTCAAGCCTTCACCTTTCATCTCTGATGCCCTCGTCCCTTAAAGGGAGCCGCATCACTCTAGGGCCCCATACAGGCTCTTCTCACGTCCCCTGTATCTTGTTATTTGCTTTTCATCATCTGCATCTTATCTAAATGCCTGGTACACTCCTCCTACTGTCTTCCTTTTCGTCATGGGGGTGTGAGGTGGAGAAGGATGGTGGGACATTTTTGAAAGTCCCAATGTCCAGACCACACCCTATAGCAATTAAAAGACTCCTACATGATTTGAATGTTCAAGTGAGATTGCAAACCTCAGCTAAGAGGCTAGTCCAAACCTCTCCCCTTCTCCTCAATCCTTCGGTCACCCCACCTGTCTCACCTAACCTTTTATTTTACCAAGATAAGTGTCATCCGATGGCATCCCCCCATCTCTCTCATCTCCATCTCAAAATCTCCAGCTTCTCCTTTGCAGCCATGCTGTTTTTTCTTACTAACAGAAAGAAATGTATGTTTCAGCTTGAAGGGAAAGCTTTGAAGGATCCACTCAGAGGTCTGGGGCCAGATCTGTCCTGCTGTGTACCTGAGCATTCCCCACTTGTCTCCTCTGGTAGTTCTTGAAGGCTCAGCTTCCACTCCAAAGGCGCATCACAGGGTGTCACGGTGACTGATAATGGAGTATTGTCTTCTTCAACCACAAAGAAATACCTGTGGGAAAGTGGACCATTCAGACTATGATAATTCTTTCTAACACTTACAAGCAAGACTTACTGGAAAAATCATTGGGTTTTCATTTTTATAAAATTTTCATAAAAAGTTCATTTTCTGTTCAGTTAGCAGAGAATAAAACTGTTTATTTAACAGAAAACATGATACAGCATTAACTGTTCAAGTCCAGTAGCCCCAAGTTCTGCAACCAGAACAGTGTGAAATGATAAAAAACTCTAAATTAAAAATATTTTGAATTAAAAATCAGCACTTCCCTGTGTCTGAGTGTAATTTAA